CACTGCTCTAAGAGGAGATTCAAGTGATAAGGTTGGGGGGGGGTTACCTTGGTTGCTGATTGGCTAATGGTTACTCAAGCCAAAACACCGTTATGACATCATAAAGTGGCCAAAATCTGATCAGCTCATTTTCAGACAGGTTTTTATGTAAATGGATCAGAAAATGTGGGTTTTGTATAATAGGTGACCTTTAAAGTAAAGTATTGAGACTTCAATTTAACCATAATGTGGTTCTCTTTCGTTATGGGAATTGAATTGGATCGTCTTCTTGTCTTCCTACAGAGTGAAGAATCATAAATATGCACTCACCGAGCCATTGGGGGTGATGGAGGCCAGCAGGATGCCGAACAGTCTCCCCCAGGCGGCTCCTATCAGCAGAGCGGGGATGAAGACCCCCGCAGACACCGCCAGGCCGTACGTCCAACACGCCAGGAAGAAATAAGTGATGGTGAACAAACCCAGGGTCAACGGATTGTAGGTCCCTTTAATAGAGACAGAAGTTCAACACATCTGTTTCACACACTGATCCTATTTAAATCCCACCTCTTATAACGCCTGTTCAGTCTAGGCTCCCTCTCCAGTCTAGTCTAAAAAAGTCCAACATTTTAGACTAGACACGTGTAGGTATATTTGATAATAGGTACTTTCAGTAAAAAAAACAAGAACACAATGTAAACCTCATCTTGTTTACATCTGGCGGACAATTTTAATGGTCCATCTTATTTTTCACAATTTACTACGATATATTTGCATTGAACTATTTCTACATATTTTCACCTTTCTTTGTTTTTCTTGTGAAGCACTTTGTGAACTGTATTTCTGTGGTGCTCTAATATGTATAAGTATTATTATTACTATTATTACATAGTGCGTTTAATGACGGACACAAATAGCGTTGCACGCGGTCAGTAAGGGCAGCTGGTTGAGTCAGGACCAATGCAGACTTCCTGTAGGGTTTAATAACTTCCTGTTGGATGCTTTAATAACTTCCTGTTGGGAGTGTTTAATAATTTCCTCTGCCTGTAAGATGGCTCTGAAGGTCACTCAATATGTCAGACCCTCCACGGAAACACTCAAACGGAGAGGAAGTGGTAAGGAAGAGAGTGTGGAGGTCGGATTGGTAGTACTGGGCTTTATTCATTAAAATCCCGTTTCCATAATGTGCAAAATAATAGAAAGAAGGAAACACCGGGCCAGATGTTTGTACAGAGTTATTTTTAGCAGCTTTTCACCTGCTTGTGTGTGGAAGAGGCTGCGGACGCTTATCTCAGGAGTGTTGAAGAAGATTGTTGCCATGGAGTTGTACTCTCCATCTGCACAGAACAACTGAGAGTGTGTGTGAGAGAGAGAGAGAGAGAGAGAGAGAGAGAGAGGGAGAGAGAGATTGATAAGAGATCCATAAAAAATAGGAGACAAGAAGAGACTTCCTTCCTTCCTTCCTGTCGCTGTGTGATTTAGTGATTTAACTATGCTGTCTAACAGGACAGATTAGGATCAGTGAAGGTATGTAGACCTCATTTGGTGCCGTCATGGAGCAGCGGTCCAGAGTTGTTTATGTTTTCTTCGTCACGAGCCACTCCTGTCTCTTTCAAAATATTTCCTCTCTCCCTAATAGGCATTTCTAATAAAAAGGTGAGGATGCCAAAAAAAAACACACTACAGCATGGGTGGGATACATTTCCGTGAATAGTGATTCAGATGAAGTACCAGTTGTCTGTTCTGCCCAAACCTGATGGGTTGAAGCCGTAAAAAGACCAGAAAAATCGAACCTATCCCAAAATAATCTGCGCTCTTTGAGAAAGCATTTGTGACAAAAAAATATATTATTGTATGAATTAATCACATGGAGAATGTGTCCCTGGTATGTAGACATTTATACATTTTCGACAATGAATTATAAGTGAGATATTTTTGAATGACTGAGTCTGAAAGAGCTTTGCTTATCTGTATAATTGTGTCCATTAGGAACAATTGAAACAGTCTCCTCTCTTAGCAAGACCATCGAGTTGTGTCTCCATGTCTGATGTTGAAATACACAGTACAGAGGTTTATTTGTGAGACCTGATCTGTAGCGTGAGTAGTCTTGGTTCAACACAGAAACCATTTGTTCGCACACACACAGACAGCCAAACAAAACAAGGATCGGCTGTTTGTTTTTCTTCAGTTAAATGTTTGCCTCTGCAACAAATTCCATTGACATCCATCCAATAGTTGAGACAAGGAAACCACTACTGTCACAAAAGTAAAAGTCAGGGGTTCACCAGTCAGAACTATTCATCCTCTGGGGAACATGACCGTCAAAATGGTGTCCTCCACTTGGATCCTTTGGGCCGTATTGTTCTTATGGCATACATACTGGTAAAGCGTAATGAAGTGAAACAGCTGTCTGGTTAAAGAAACAGGAAGCATTAAGGTTCTCTGTGAGAGGCTTTATCTTATCTGAATCTGCACTCGGGTCGGTGTAATGTGCTCAATCATGCTCATACACTTTGAAATCTGTCTTGATAACTGACAGCGCTTGTGACACCATGTAACTGTGACAGTTTATATTAGCTGACAAAGGTGAGTCTTGTTGCAGTGTGTGTGAGTGTGAGAGTGTGTGGGTGTGTGTGTGTGTATGAGTGTGAGAGAGTGTGTGTGTGAGTGTGTGTGTGTGTGTATGAGTGTGAGAGAGAGTGTGTGTGTGCGTGCGTGCGTGCGTGAGAGAGTGTGTGTGTGTGTGTGTGTGTGTGTGTATGAGTGTGAGAGAGTGTGTGTGTGTGTGTGTGTGTGTGTGTGTGTGTGTGTGTGTGTGTGTGTGTGTGAGAGAGAGAGAGAGAGAGAGTGTGTGTGTGTGTGTGTGTGTGTGTGTGTGTGAGAGAGAGTGTGTGTGTGTGTGTGTGTGTGTGTGTGTGTGTGTGTGTGTGTGTGTGTGTGTGTGTGTGTGTGTGTGTGTGTGGAGAGTGTGTGTGTGTGTGTGTGTGTATGAGTGTGAGAGAGTGTGT